GGCCTCAGAGTCTTCTTCCAACACGTTTTCTTGTTAATGAATGACTAGAATTATTCTAGAACATTCTTTAACCGAAAACAAGACATTATTTTAGAATAAGGACACACATACAGTCTTCTATTTTGTAAACCATCGAACAAACGAGTAACGTTAATTTTTGTCTTCTGTATCTAAAATCCCAGAAAGACTGCTTGTAAATCGCTTTGACAATTATTCAGTTTGCATCATGGGAAGTAGCCGGCATATTCGCGACTATGCGCCAGAAAAATCTTGCCTTTTCGAGCTACAGACGAGTAATGAGAAGGCCGCTCTTAGGCTCAAGTACAGACTGAAAAACTGACACGCTTGACTGTTAATTTAAACTGCCTCTTATGTCAACAAATTTAACATAAGACGTATCCTAGGTATAGTTGAAAGAATACATATTAAGTTTAAATCAAATATATTAGGTTGCACATTAATATATTTGCTTTCAACTAACCTAAACAGTTATGTGAAATCTGTCACTTATGAATCACATTTAATTAAAGTCAACTTTAAGATTTTTTTCAGTGCACAGGAGCACTCAGCAAGACTCATGGGAAATGAAGGGCCGCTGTGATTCTGTGTTTGTGTTTGTTCGTCTCCGACTTTCCAGAGAGAAAAACTTTTATCATCACACAAGACGAAAAAGACAAGAGAGACTTGAACAGAGAATATTAACTTCTATTATAAAGTTAGAACCATATAAACATAAACTATATATGCTTTATATAGTATATATTTATGACAGGTACTTTATATTTTTCACACTCATGTGTTTCAGGCTTGAGATATGTCATTTTCCTTCAGCGTGGTGTGAGGGTCAGTATGAATGTTATTGTGTGTTTTGCTGAAAGGGAGCTGCAGCAAAACCTTCACGAACATTATAGCGGTGCTGACAAATCCATTCACAATAAACACGGACAGGGATCTAGGATTTAGTTTCAACAGGTGTTTCATCAAGTAGACAAGAACATGACAATTATGTCTTCATGTATGTGTGTAAATCATGGAGCTGGGGACGTTAGCATAGCTTCAGCATAACGCTGAAGCACGAGGGAAACAGCTAGCGCTGCTCTGTCAAAAGATAAAAATAATCATCTACCACCTAAAGCTACATGAACGATGTTATATGTAGGTTATCTGTACACAAAACAGAAACATTAACAGGTCTTAATTCAAGTTGGATAAGAAACGGTGGTAGTTCGCAGTGCTATCTGTTCAATATGGAGCTGGATGTTAGGCCTAGCCTTAGCATGAATTCTTAAACAGAGGGAAAAAGCTGCCTTGTCAAAAGGTTACAACAACATAACCGCTTGTCACTATAGTTAGAAGGACACATGTTATTTTTCATGCTGTCACAAACAGAAATGTAGAAGCACAGCCAGGGTCAATAAAGCTATAATATCAGTTTTTCTTAATCGTAACAATATTGAGTCCATGTTATTCTAATTTTATAATGGTTGGGCCAAGTAAATGCTTCCTTAAAAACTATTAATTTATTTCTTCCCAATTTGTTGTGAGTAACCCCTTGTATCTTTTAGTTTTCAGCAGCTTTCCTGCAAAGATTGGATGTTTTTATTCTACCTGAAACCTGCTCTGCCTCATCTCCCTCCTAATAGTTAACAGATAATACCAGTTCTTTGTTGGTTGGGGCACCGCCAGTACACGATGGCGATCTCGAATCATCCAGAAACTACGCTCAGTACCTCCACCTGACCATTCCGCCATAAAGGTGACTAACGTCGTATTTAAACGGTCACGGTATTCATGCAAATATCCATTGTTCGATGTCTCTTCTACATCAAATGGTTTTCTTTCAAGTGTCTCTTCTACATCAACATGTGTCCCTCTGTGAAGAGTCTCTGAAAGTTTTCAGGAAGCAAAGATTCTCTCCCCTTTTTTGTCGCTGGATTCCATTTTCTATAAAAAACCTGTCTGAAAAACTGAGCTGATCAGATCTTTGCCACTTTATGATCGTCATAACGATTTTTTTGCTTGTGTAACCATTAGGCCAATCAGAACCAATGGGTAACCCCCGTCCCCTCCACCTTACTCACGGTCTGAATCTTCCCTCCTAGACAGCCATTTGTGTTCTTTTTAACCCCAGAATCCTCTCAGAGCGGTTGGGGGGAGGCTCCTTGAGGTTGTTCATCTAAGAGTGAACGAGACAGAGAGATCAGCGCCTTGGGGGAAGACAGGGCCTGAAAACAGACGGGGATGCTGATGTTTGATGTTTCAGCCAATCAGAGACAGGGCTCGTATATATCTGAGACCTTTTTATTCTTTGTTTATGTTAGTGTGATGATGAAAACGGAGTTGATGAATATGTGGGATCCTTGTAAGTCTGAAAGGTGAGTGTTGGCTGTTCTGGTTTCACAGTTACAAACAAAGACACAGGTTGCGCGCAGTTACACCTGGTGAGAGCGAATTGGGTGTGTGTGTGTGTGTGTGTGGTGTGTGTGTGGTGTGTGTGTGTGTGTGTGTGTGCCTTGGTTGCTGATTGGCTAATGGTTACACAAGCCAACACATCGTTATGACATCATAAAGTGGCCAAAATCTGATCAGCTCATTTTCAGACAGGTTTTTATAGAAATGGATCAGGACAAAAAGAGAGAATCTTTGTTCCTGAAACTTTCAGAGTCTCTTTCCACAGAGGGGACACATGTTGATGTAGAAGAGACATGAAGAAGAGGGGACACATGTTGATGTAGAAGAGACATGAAGAAGAGGGGACACATGTTGATGTAGAAGAGACATGAAGAAGAGGGGACACATGTTGATGTAGAAGAGACATGAAGGAAGAGGGACACATGTTGATGTAGAAGAGACATGAAGAAGAGGGGACACATGTTGATGTAGAAGAGACATGAAGAAGAGGGGACACATGTTGATGTAGAAGAGACATGAAGAAGAGGGGACACATGTTGATGTAGAAGAGACATGAAGAAGAGGGGACACATGTTGATGTAGAAGAGACATGAAGAAGAGGGGACACATGTTGATGTAGAAGAGACATGAAGAAGAGGGGACACATGTTGATGTAGAAGAGACATGAAGAAGAGGGGACACATGTTGATGTAGAAGAGACATGAAAAGAGGATTTTGCATAATAGGTGACCTTTTTGCCATGTTGTTTCCCAGATTACTACAACAACAACAACAACAACGGTGGCACTAATGGAGGAGATACATCGGACAGCCCCTCCTCCGGGGGTCCTCAGGGAAGCAGCCCCCCCGCTCAGAGCTCCTACGGTTCATACTACCAGAACGATGGAGCTTACACTGCCTCGCCTGCCACCAAAGCCCCCAAAAAGAAGCCCCCCATGCACAAGGCAGGGAAAGCGGCGTTCTCAGGTCCTCCGGGGGCCAACAGTGAGGTTTACCAGCAGGCCAGCAGCCCCCCAGGACAGGGAGCCTATAACCAGTACAGCCAGGGCTATGGGCAGGGGAAGAAGAGCTTCAACCAGAGCCAGGGGGGGGCGGGCGGGTACTCGTACAGCACGGCGTATCCCAGCCAGGTGACGGGGGGGGCCGGCAGTCAAGACTACATCTATGAAGGTGAGTAAGGGGGATGTGTTTCCTTGACAAAAAGCACAATTTCCATGCTTTTACTTGTGAAATGTGTCACTTATTTTTGAATTTTATTTATGAATTTTATTTATTATAATTTTCTTTTAAAAAGATCCCAAACAAAAATCACAAGTAATAACAAAAAAAACATTGTTGGGAAAATGTCCTCTTCCAATATGAGTAACATGACAAAGGTATCCCAACTGTAGCTGTGAACATGACAGGATGTGTGATTACCTAGAAGAGCATCAGGACTGTTTGAGGCATATGATAGCTATGTGATTAACATGATGATTCAGCCTCTTTGGAGATAGACATATGACATATCATTTCTGACTTGGAGCTAATCTGAAGTAAACATTGAATACTGCTTTCTATTCCTCCATCTTGTGACTGAGAGCATTTTGAGATTTTGAGAAAAATTCAGAATTTTGAGATTGAGGAGAATTCAGAATTTTGAGGAGAATTTTTGAGATTTTGAGGAGATTCAGAATTTTGAGGAGAATTCAGAATTTTGAGATGAATTCATAATTTTGAGAAATAGTCAGAATTTTGAGGAAAAATTCATAATTTTGAGAAATTCATAATTTTGAGATTTTGAGAGAGATTTTGAGATTTTGAGGAGAATTCAGAATTTTGAGGAGAATTCAGAATTTTTGAGAGTCAGAATTCAGAATTTTGAGAAAAAGTCAGAATTTTGAGAGATGGTCAGAATTTTGAGAAAGTCAGAATTTTGAGAAAAGTTAGAATTTTGAGAAAAAGTCAGAATTTTGAGAAATTCAGAATTTGGAAAAAAAAAGTCAGAATTTGGAAATTTGGAAAAAAAGTCAGAATTTGGAAATTTGGAAAAAAAGTCAGAATTCTTTGATTACCTACAAGAGCCGGTATTCCTCCATCTTGTGACTGTGTAACTCCCTCTCTTGGATATCAGCATGTGAAGGACACTGCTCAGGAACTAGTTGATGCTCTGTGTGTGATGACTTCTTCCATTCTGGAGAGGATCACAGATACATGGATCCCGAGATTGAAGCTCAAGCCGGTGACCAGTGATATCTTTCTAACATCATCTCACACTCTCCTTGCAGATTTCAACAGCTCGTCCAGTTACAACTCACAGAGTGGAGGGGGAGGCGCCAACAACAACACCCAGGGCTTCGGCACCAACCACTCCCAGTACAACAACCCAGTGGGCTACGGCCGGGGCGACAGCAGCATGAACTACCAGTACAGATAAACTGTGTCCCCCCCCCCCCTCTGAGAAGCATCAGGTTCTCCAAAGAACGTCTTCGACTGCTTTACTCTGCCTTCTCCGTGTCTGCTTCTAACGTGCTTTTGGGTTTAAATGTAGGACATGTGGGCACAAGCTGAGGTGCGTGGACCGTGGAAGAGTCGGAGTTTCTGTTTCTGTGGTCTGGTCAGTGTTGTGTTTTTAGGTTATTCTCTTATTTTATTTTTTCAAAAGTCATACTGCCACTCATCAGTGAATAAGAAGGTTGATACGACAAAGTACTCTGACTCGTTTTCCTTTCTGAAGATTTGTGTGGCTTTTTATTTCCCCTCATGTGAAACTATCTTGCAGTTTTTAAAACTACAAAGGTTGTTGTATTTTTTTGTAACTATTCAATAGCATTGCTTGTAATTTCGGCTTATTTTGTAATTTACCTAACGTGATGTAGTTATTTTATTGAATGGTTTTGAGGTTACTGGAAGATACCCGTACGTTCTGATGTTCAGTCCACGTTTCTGCTCAATGTGGCTTTTTCATTGGGTGAGATTTGGTCCTGTTAATGTATAACAAAGTGTGTTTGTATTAATAAATGATTTTTATTTTGAAAATGTGTCTTTATTAGGGTTTTTACTGAGATTCAAGCATCTCTACTGTCAGGGAATAATTCTGTATACATGTTTACCTTTTACCCTCTGACGCAGCTGACCAGCCTTGAGCAGCCATTATCTCCCATAAGGAGGGGCTAACCTAGCAAGTTGTTGTTGTCACCAGTTTGTGACCGGGCAACTCTCGGTGAGAGATAGTTGTTGTTGTTGTTGTTGTTGTGGGACACCTGGAACACCTCCTTCTCGGGGTGTAGATGAACCCGAGCCATAAGCGACAACAAATGTGATTCAGTGTCCTCAGCTGTTTAGTCCATCTATTGAAGAATGTAGATTATTACACTCTGAACTAGTTAAACCCTGGAGCTACAGGAGGGCTCTTCAGAATTGATTGTGGCATCTCAAATGAACCTTCAGTGTTTGCCATCAAAGCTCCAGCTCCTCCTCGTGTCTCTTGAGTCCTGACTCCAATTGCTTCAGAAGTCTCCCCCACATCTACAATTGATAATACATGACTCTATTTCACTATTATAAAAAAAAGGTCACTTTTTCGAGCGATTTTTCAAAACGATGCCATCCAAAAATATTATTTAATCTTATTTATGACCATATTTAGATTTTAAAAGCATGGCTATGGCATTATTCATTTTTAATCTCTATCTCTTCGAAATATATTTTAAAAGAAAAATGTTGACGTTAAATTGTCTTCATTTTTTTGCAAGGCAATACAAATAAAAAATGACAGTTCATTATAGTAAAGTGTAAATAACAATGTGCAATAAGATATACACATATTTAGATTAACTTTAAAAGTAATAATGTCCACATTGTACTAGAATATATACCAACACATTTGTAAAACTATATTTACAATATATACAGTAGTGCATCAGATTAAGCCCATATTATTGCTCGCTATTAAATACTGTAATAATAATACAAATTATGATTTTTTTTCAGTTTGATTATTTTACAGGAAAGGGATTTACTATTTACTATAAGGATTCAAAATGTGTTGCCAATGGAAACTAAATATACAAAAATAAACAACTAAATTTATCGTTTTCTAAAATACAAAAAAGTATGTTTCAAAAAACAAGATTAAAAGGTTTCTTTATAAATTAACTACAGTTATTACGGTAATGGTTTGGTTATTTTTTATTTATTTTTTAAATGGTGCTTTTGGTTGTACACGATGTGTATTAATCTCAATAAAAGTGTGATGACAAAAAAAAAGTTATTACGGTAATCGTTTCCCACTTTCTCCACGTGGCTCTACTCTAATGCTTTCGGCCTTTGGAGACTCAACGTCACTTCCGGTCTCTTTGCGTCCTCGCAGGTTTCCAACATGTCGGACGCCGGTGTGTTGGAGACTCTACTCCGGAGGATCGAGGCGGCGGACGGAGGTGTGGACAGCCTGGAAACAGCCTCTATTCTCGGGGTGGATCACCAGGTCCTCATCGGAGCCGTGAAGAGTCTGCTGGCCCTCGAAGACGTGAGTTTCCCGGGAGGAGAGGGACACGAAGTCGGTCTGCAACATGATGCAATGTTACTGTCAGAGCTGATGGACTAACGTGGTGTTGCATTCAGTCAAATACAACCAGCAAAGGGTAGAAATACGAGTGAATAGAATAGTTTATTGTCATTACACAGGTACAATGAGATGAGTAGAGCTACTCCTTTTGTTTAAGGTGCCATGGTGGTGTTAGGATTTAAGTACAATGTGGAGGTACTTTTACTTTACTTGAGTAATTTACTTTGTACTTTACTCCGCTACAATTCAGAGGTAAATGGTGTACTTCTACTCCACTACATGTATTTAATACCTTTAGTTACTTTACAGATCTGGATGAATGATTTGAAATATAATCAAGTGTTAAATCAGACTTTAGTTCCACCTGGAGTAAATCCACAAGCTACCCTGCAGTATACAAAGTCATTCAAACTAGCTGCACCTTTACCAGCTTTGAGAACACTTTCATGATCAATCATTATAAAACATATCATATATATTATTCTGAAATGGACCAATCTGCACAATGACTACTTTTACTGTCGCTACTTTCACTATATTTTGATGATAATACTTTTCTACTTTTACTTGAGGAACATTTTGAATGCAGGACTTTTACTGTAACAGAGTATTCCTACACTCTGGTACTTCTACTTTTAGTCAAGTACAAGATCTGAGTACTTCTACGACCTCTGGTAAAGTAATACAAGAAATATGAGGGAAACTATTGCATTTAAAGTGTTTCTTAAGTAAAAGTACATACCTTTGGGCACCTTTTTAAGTACCAAAAGTAAAAGTACTCATGCATAATGATCATATTTGGATGTCAATCATACATGTGTACAGCATTTTTAATTTTTAAAAGTGGAGATGACTCTTTTTATTTCCTATTTACATAATATTAGACCTTAATTAATTATTCTCTTTGTATTATTAATATAAACCTACAAAGTGAATAATTACTAATCATCTCAAATAAATGTAGTGGTGTAAAAAGCACAACTTTTACTTACGTAAATAGCATAACGTTGAAATAATTAAGTAAAATACCGGTTCCTCAAAACTACTGAAGTAAAGAAATACTTAAATGTGCAAAGTTAATTTCCTCCATGCAGCAAGCCAGGTGATTATTGGCTGTTGTGTTTGGCTGCACAATTAATCGCAATGTTACTAAAATGCAATATGGACGAGTGCAACATTGCAATAGCACTAGAATAGAAAGCACTCGTTAGGCTAAATACGTCTTATAATATCATTTAAAATAAAGTATTGTTTAGGTGTAGATACAGGCCAACACATCGTGTTCTACAGATCTAACAAACTAAACATTCGGAGCCTGACAATGTTAATATAATATTTTCAATGCAAAAATAATTATGATTAAAAAAAAAAAAAGATCAATCCTTCCAATTGCCTGAATCACAATCACAATATCAGTCAAACATAAATGCATTAGTTCTCTTTTCTACTTCAGTGTTAACCAAATGAGCTGACAGCCATGTTTGTGTCCCTCTCTAGTTGATCTCAGCTGAGCTCCGCTCCTCGAAGCACTGGGAGCTGTCGGGGGAGGGGACGGAGATCGCTGAGCAGGGCAGCCATGAGGCGAGGGTCTTCGGCTCCATCCCTCCGGAGGGTCTGCCCCAGAGCGAGCTCATGGTATATATATAGAAATGTATTTATTTGGCGTGTGGTGCAGTGGGTTGTGCGTTGGTGTTGGGATCAGGGGCGCACAGGTTCAAACCCCACTGCAGTCAGCATGTCGTTGTGTCCCTGAAGACACTTCACCCCAAATTGCTCCTGTGGGGATTGTCCACAGTATTGAGTATGTAAGTCGCTTTGAATAAAAGCGTCTAACAAGTAACATGTAATGTAATGTTAGAATAAACCTCTTGAGATCCACCATCTTGTTTTCAAGGGGGTCCCGACAAAAGCAACGTCTCACAGACAGACATGAAGAAAATAACAGAAAGCAAAGCATGACAAACAAGGACAAAGCACTTACCGTCCGTTAAGTAAAATTCATGAAGTAATGCAAACAATCATTACGATGTGATGGACAGTAGTGTCTAACGGACCGGTTTCATCAACAACAAGAGCAGCTGAAAGTGAGATGATGACGCTGAAACACGAACGCTCTGCTGCCAATGCTTTTTTTGGTAGGTGGACTGCAGGGGGAATAACAGATAAAGTACTTTATTGATCCCAATTTGGGAAATGTTTGTGTTGCAGCAGCATAAAAAGACAAGGCATTGTACATAAGAGAAATTAAAAGACTAGAAATAAACAACTCAAATAGAAATAAATAGCATTATAAGAAATATACAGATGACCTGAAGCAGGGCTGACACGGATGGGGACATTCAGACTGGTTTGGGTTCAGGCGTAGAGGAAAAGGAAATATGGCTCCTTTTCCTAAGTCTTAGTCACCTCTATGTATATTATAACACGTATACTTCAGGATACCACTCTACTGTTTGTTAATGCTCTTTCAAACCTCGCTCCTAAGAAAGGGTTCTTTACATTCCACCTCAAAAGGAAATAATTGAATATCTACATTCAATATAACGATAAGTCAGTCCACTAATCGATTAATATTCAACATTTACATAATTAAATAACTTGTTGTTTAGATTGTAGTTTCTGTCTTTCCTAATGTTAGGATACCTTTTTGTCGTAAACTTAAAATCGTACGTCTCTATCAGACATCAGTACAAGAACGTAAGCGAAGCTGTGGAAGGCAACAAAACTTAAATTAGCTCCTTAAATACTCTTTAAAACCCCCAAAATCCATATTAGGCCCGTTCACACCGGAGTACTTTTACCCGTACTTTTCCCGTTTAGTTCCGATAGTGCCTGGAATTTTGCGTTCACACCAAAAAGAGAACTTAGTTCAGATAACTTTTACCCCCATGTTTAGTGCCTGCTAGAGAGGTGGGACTATCCTGGGGTGAAAAAAGTACCAATTTCGATTGGCTGGGCGAATTGCAAACCACGCCCCGTAAAACTCTGAAAAGTTTTGTGAAGCCGCCATTGTATTTGCTGGCATTAGCATTAGCATTAGCCCCGTGCACCAACGAAGAGACAATAAGTTATGGCAACACAATAAATAACATGGGAGATGAGGAGGTGTCGGCGTTCTGGCGATTTACTCGGAAGGCTTCAGTAGAAGCTGCTGGGAGTCCCAGCAGCTTCTACTGAAGCCAGTCCCCAACTCCGGGGACTTCCGGCTGGGGACTTCGGGTGACAGTATACGCCGTGAAGTTGTTTCTGGCCTGCCAGTAAACCCAAAGCAGAAGAAGAAGTGACGTCAGCGGCTCCTTTGCGTAATCTTCCCTCAGGAACTTATTCCGGTGTGAACGCGATCTGTACTTAGTTCCATAGTGCTGGTACTAATTGCGGCAAAGTATTTGGTGTGAAAGCGGCTATTGGCCCCTTAAGAAGCCGGGCCAATAATATTAGCTTTGTGGTGAAAAGCTCTTGCATGTAATCTGCTTATAGAAACATTTACAGGCATAAAAACTAATTTCTTGACATATCATTTTACTTATAAAAACACTGCATATTGTTTGTTTTATATGATCAGTAACACTTCTGTTTGTCCCCGTGCAGAAACTGTCCTTTGGGAAGATCGGCTTCAGCAAGGCCATGTCCAACAAGTGGATCAAAGTGGACAAGACTCACGAGGGCGGCCCGAGGATATTCAGGAGTGTAAGTTTTATATCACGTCTTTAATTATTATTATGCCCTTTGTGTGGTCGGTAGTCCCCATTCTGAACTAAGACGTGTATGTGTGTGTATGTGTGCAGGTGGAGAATATCGAGGACCAGGTGAGAGACAAACTGCTTCTGGTTCAGAAAGGAAACACCTCTCAGCTGGAGGAGAAGGAGAAGAACGAGCTGAAGAAGAGGAAGCTGCTCTCTGAAGTGTAAGTCCAGGGTCAGTTTAGCGTAGGAACCTTCCTAACGGAGTGAAATGACCCGGAAGTACCTCAGTGGCAGCCATGATAAGAGCTGTTCGAATTCTCTAGTCCAGAGGATAGGAAAGGAGCTTTGAAACTTCCTTTATAACCTGCTTTAGCTTAGGAAACACTGGAAATACTGAAATGAATATCCTAAATCATAAATACGTCGGATAGTGTAAGTGCAGTCGATTCTCAAAGCACCGCAGTCTCTTTTCCTAAGTCCTTTTGATTTCTCCTATCCACTATCCCTTAACCCCGTGACGTTTCACACAGAGGTCAAGGGATAGACGATAGGAAAAGACGATAGGAGATGATTTTTGAACTATTCGACTGCAACCCACCTCTCAACTCAGACAGCTGGGGACTGTGTGATTGTCCTGTCTACCACCAGGGGGCAGTAGAGGGTTTGTTGTGGCTGCTCTCCACATCTCAGCATGAGCCTTGGATCATATTTGAAACTGCAATTAAACAAACAACAACGAGGTGGTGGGAACAGAAGTGATTGTAATTGTTGTTGCCAACATTTGTTCTGTAACTCCTGTTATGTTGTACATACAAGTGTATCTGAAAGTATTTAGTAGCAGAAACAAGCACAAACCATTGATGTTGACAAAACGCCATTGTTTCACTGAAATAGCGTTAAAATCACAAATGCCCTTTAAGAGTCTATTTTTAAAGAAAATCTATTCGAGCTGTTCTTAATTTCCTCGTTTTAAGGTGTCATACATACAAGTGTATCTTACAGTACCTTTGTGAGATCTCTAAGCACAAATCAGCCTCCTTATCAACATTTCATTGTTTCACCAAAACAGCCTTAAGCGTTAGTTTGCCAGAAATGATACTGACCAACGCTATACTGCGCTTTGTGAATGGTATTGATGTTTGGATTTCTGTTACGTGTCTGTGTTTAGGACGGTGAAGTCGTACTGGATCAGTAAAGGCAGCTGCTTCAGCACCACCATCACCAAACCGGAGACGGAGCTGACTCCTGAGATGATCGCTAAGTGAGTCCACTTATTTTGACATCATGCTTCTGTCGTTTGTTGATGACATCATGAGGCGTGTCCTGTCTGTCCTCCTCTGTCTGTCGGTGACGGAGGGCGGGACCTCAGACTCAGACGCAGAGAAACATCAGCCCTTAAAAAGGGGACGAGTGCAAAGACTTGGACTCTGTCCTAAAGGCAGGGCAGGACAACATGATGGTGACCCAAAAGGACAGAAAATGATGACATGTTGTAGACATAAGGTTGAGCTGGGCAGGATGTAAATTAGCATTAGATTTAATTGGCATTTTTACGTCTTGAATTGTATACTGATGTTCATTAACGTGCACTGTCCCTAAATAATAAATGATGTTATTACATGGCTTAGTTGAATACTCGATTCTGATTGGTCAATCCAGAACACGTGACGCGTTGTTAATCCAGAACAGACAGACCGCTGTCAAGGATTTATTGACCGTTGTTAAGTACGCTCAGATCTGCAGAAAGAAGTTCGGTCGATTTAACTGTTTACAGTTTGGCCGTTTCAAACTAGGACAAGAAAACAGCGGAGAAGTAACGGGGCAGAAACCCTCCTTTTTACGCAGCGGTCCAGACATAGACATCAAACGGCAAAACATATTCAGTTCCCAGTTCCTTTGGCATTAGGGCAGGGATATCTAGATACTTTCCAAGGGTTGACATAATGAGTTGTGCTACTTTTAAAGCAAGCAACGATGTTTTCAAATCTAATCAAAAAGCTCCGCCTTCCTGCCGTTGCTACGTTAGTTCAAACGGTAACAACGGACTATTTTTCTTAGCGGATGCATGTCAATTTAAATCAATACATACATTTTCTAAATCCATAAAAGCATTTCAATTAATATTGGGAGTCATGTCGTTACTTTGTTGAGAATGTGGCTTGGCGTCAGGCTCCTGATCTGATCAGCCTGTCGGGTGTTCTTTTACCCATGATGACCGCCTCGCTGCACATTATCCCGTACTTATTTATATTCACGGTTGTTGAAAGGATCAGGACGGTTCTGGACGAAATGTTTGAGCTGCTTTTCTGATGATAAATGAATGCAGACAAACGGTTGCTTTGGATTTTTAAGAGTTTTATTGACAGAAGCTAGCCTTACTTTCCTTATATACGTAGTGACATACTCAGGAATGAGAAATAATTCAAATATATTTAATAATAGGCTTAAATGGTTTTCATGCTGAGGCTTGTAAAATGTATTTAGCGCTTTTCTAAGTACTCTATACTTAACAATAAAGAAATGTAATATGAAAGGTAATAATGTTTTGCTAATACAAGCAGGGATGCAATGGTTTTTGAAATAACAAAATTAAAACCTGCCGTCTTTCTTCTTTATTTGTTCCTGTGTTTCAGTGGCAGCTGGAAGGAGAAGAAGTTCAAGCCGTATAACTTCGAGGCCCTCGGCGTGGCCCCTGACTGCGGACACCTGCACCCCCTGATGAAGGTCCGCACGCAGTTCAGACAGATCTTCCTGGAGATGGGGTGAGGGGCCGTCAAAAGCACAGATACAGGGGGTCCGCGGGGTCTTAAAAAGTATTAAAAGTTGATAAATCAATTTAGCGGAAATGAAGGCTATTAAAAAGTATTAAACGGCATTTTCCAAGGTATTACATGTTGTAGCTTGTTTTCAATAAGTATATAAATTGTCCAAAGAGGTTGTATTCTACAGTCTGCCTGAATGTAATCATTGCGTAGGTGTGTAGTGTGATTCTGTGTAGTTTATTTATGGCATCCCGTTGGATTTGACGTCATCTGCTTGATAGCGCGCGCAGGTCCGTTTACGCCGGTTGTTAAACAACATCGTTATGGGGAAATGCAAGTTTGCGTCCAAATGGTTGGAAGATAAGGAGGAAGGACAATCAATACTGTATATGTGACCTGCTCTATCGAAATCAGTCGCATTGACCCGAAGACACATTTTGAGTTGTATACACTGCTGGAAAGAGGAGATTCCTATCTTTCTAATGACATCAGGATTGTTGTTGTTCTCCAAATATTAAGCGAAATATGTCACATTATATAATGACTGTCACCGAGTCATCACTTTGAGAAAAAGGCCTTCAAAGTTTCCTCTTCTCTGGAATCCATCGATCTGATTGGTTATTAGCAAATTATCAAAATACTACGGAGGGAAGATATTTTCGTTTGGATTACGGGTCTGGGAGAAGCTCGCGAGTGTGTGTGTGTGTGTGTGTGTGTGTGTGAGTGTGTGTGTGTGTGTGTGTGTGTGTGTGTGTGTGTGTGTGTGTGTGTGTGTGTGTGTGTGTGTGTGTGTGTGATCTATGACTGTGTGTGTGTGTGTGTGTGTGTGTGTGTGTGTGTGTGTGTGTGTGTGTGTGTGTGTGTGTGTGTGTGTGTGTGTGTGTGTGTGTGTGTACATGTGTATGTGAGCAAACCACCCCTGACAACCGTAACCTCCTCTCTGCCTCCAGTAGCTCAGACATTCTTTTGGGATATGTTTTGTAATTTTAAGGCCTTATTGGAGAAGAACCCTGCTCTAAAACTTGGAAATTGACACTTTTCCACCTTATTGAACCTCGTTTTCTACATTATCTGACAGCGTAAAGTTCAAACATGTTTCTTGTATTTACATCGTTACAACTCAAAGTTATTTCAGCCGTCTGTTTTCTCAAAGTTCGGGGATCTCCAACTGGTTCATGGATGGAAATGAAACTCCAATTCATCGTGAAAAACTGCTAAACCTGTTCCCCATAGGAATGTCAATGAATGGGAAATCTAAGGAAGAGGATTAAGCAGCTACATGAGAATTTCATTTAGATCTGACAAAAGGAATTTTAGGTTTTTAGTTCTGAGTTTAAAGTCAGAATTCAGAGAAAAAAAAGTCAGAAATCTATAAAAATGTTGACTTTTTTTCTCAAATGTCGGACTTTTTCTCAGAGTTCTGACTTTAATCCAAGAACTATGTGGAGCTAATTCTGATGGCTTTAAAAACTGCTTAAGCTATAATCATATGTTATTGGTGATTTTGACTTTGTTACTTTCCATCTGTGCAGTTATTGGATTCATGGTTTCTACCCCCGGCTACAAGGGTCACGGTGTCAGTGAGTAATCCTGCCTTTCTCTGCTATCTTTGATGTGACACACACCATCCACAATAATACAAACATATATCCCTCCATGCCAACATTTCCCGGTTCTGCTCCTCGTGTTTTTCTTTGTCTCCGCGAGAAATGTGGCATTTGAGATGCTGTCATGTTTCCAGCCGAGGCCCACACTCTGTTTATTTATTGGAGCTTATGGCAGCCTCTCTGAATCAACACGTAGGAGGGTGACGGCTGCATGCACTCCAAAAAATCATCTCATTTGATTTCCCTTTCAGAAGCTGCACTGATCATTAGCTGCAGCAAGCGTGCAGAAAAGATCTTCTTTAATCCGCCTGATACTGCGTTCCTCTGCAAACACAATGTGAAATGCAGAGGCGCGAAAAGTATTTTTTTCTCAAGTAAAAGTAGGAATACTGCAGCGTACAAAAGTGACACTCGCTGAATTCAAAATGTTCATTAAAAGTACTTAATATACAGAATGGCGTAGTTAAGAATAACATATTGTACCACTGGATTGTAATTGTTGATGGTTTTTCAGTGTGTGTGTGTGTAGGTGTGTAGGTGTGTGTGTATGTGTGTGTGTGTGTGTGTGTGTATGTGTATGTGTATGTGTGTGTGTAGGTGTGTATGTGTGTGTGTGTGTAGGTGTGTATGTAGGTGTGTAGGTGTGTATGTAGGTGTGTAGGTGTGTATGTATGTATGTATGTATGTATGTATGTGTGTGTGTGTGTGTGTGTGTGTGTGTGTGTGTGTGTGTGTGTGTGTGTGTGTGTGTGTGTGTGTGTGCCAGAGTCCTGATTTTCAAGACCCGCTCCCGCCCGCCACCCGCACATATTGACAATTAGTTCCGCAAACCGACCCGAACCCACATATCAGTGCAAACGTGCAATTATTAACACAGCCAGTTGCGTATTTGTCTCAAAAAGCGTGGGATGTTGGTTCTTTTCTCCATCTAGGATGAAACCAAAAGCCTCCCAGACGTTGGATTTCGCTCTTGAGGAAGTGTTACGGTCCGTCCACACTATAGCTTCAAAAAAAGCTTGGAGCTGGGCGTGTCTGAAGCTTGGGGATTTTATTCGAGCA